CGAAGACGTTGTTCACTTCACTTTTGAGATCTTGTCCCTCATGAAATGTTCAGAAAAAGCAACGTCAGCCGGCCATTTCTCCTTGTTCGGTGTGTGTGGTTTATGGAGAGTGTTTCTGAAGTGATGGAAACATCCTGGCCTACTTCATAATGGGCCAGCAGCTCCACAGGTGGATCTAATACTATTAATAGATGGATTCCCTCAGGCGGTTGATGGCCATCAGAACAGTTATTTAGTCCAGTTATTAAGGATCGCTGGTTGCAACTGGGTTAAATTATTCTTTTCTTTCTTTGTGTGTGTGTGTGTGTGTGTGCATTTGTACACCTTGTATATGTGTTTCCATTTGTGCAGGTAATTCATATGTTTAATGATGTCTTAATGGTGTGAATTTGCATAGTCTATTTTTAGTACCATTAAGATTTTTTTTGCGTTGTGACATTATTTTCAGAATAATTAAGCAGCCCCTACCCCTTCTCATTATCTTAATGTGAAAAATTCTCATTCTCAGTAATGTGAAAAAAAACAATGATACACTATTTAAATTTATTTATACGTAATGGTAGTGCATGATGTACGGCCCCCAGTAATTAATTATGTCCAGACAAGGTGATTTTTTTGTAATACAGTAATTAGAATCTAATGAGAATCATAATTACAAACAGATTCAAGAGTAAAATATGTATTACATATTATTTATATTGTATTTATTATATTTATATTTTAATTAACTTGTGCCTTAACTGCATTTATAATGTTACAAAAGATTCCTGTTTCGAATAAATGCTGCTCTTTTGAACTTTCAGTTCACACTGAAGACAAAAGTAATGGTTCACAGGAATAAATTACATTTTAAAATAAAATACAATAAACAGTTATTTTAAATTACAATAATATTTCACAATATTACTGTTTTTACTGTTGTTTTAATCAAATAAATGCAGCCTTGGTAAGCATAAGAGATTTCTTTCAAAAATATAAAAAAATTAAGCGTTCAGATGCAAAAGCCTCTAAGTACGTCTGACGTTTTTCTTTAAAGGGGTCATATGATGCGATTTCAATTTTTCCTTTCTCTTTGGAGTGTTACAAGCTCTTGGTGCATAAAGAAGATCTGTAAAGTTGCAAAGACTAAAGTCTCAAATCCAAAGAGATATTCTTTATAAAAGTTAAGAGTTAACCACGCCTACCTAAAACGGCTCGTTCTAACACGCTCCAACATACCTACGTCGCTCTGTGGGAAGATTTGCATAACGCCGCCCAAATGTTCACGCAAAGAAAGAAGGCATAACTTTTATTCTCACTGTAGTATTGTTGACGCTGCAGCTGTGTCGTGAAGACGCTGTGTGCTTCGTTGTGAAAGCAAAACTACTTTGTTTGGTCTTCCAAAAGAGGACGATATCCGCTTC